GACCACGTGAATTCTTCTCTATGAGGAATGGGTGGGTTTGTTGTCTGATGAGTAAATGATCACTATTATGGTAGTAACAAATTTAAATTTAATTGGACCACCAAGATAGTCAGTGTAGACACCTGCGTCCCTTTGGGGTGCTATTGCTGTGACCCTTCCTTTCCCTTCCCTAAAGCATGTCACCTTCTCTTCACCTCATGTCTGCATTTAAATCGGAAGCTCTTGGTCAGGGACCGTATGTTGCATTGTTCTGTTTTTGGAAAAACTCCAGTGTGGACAGAGTGAATATAAAATCCAGTACTAGCACCCAGTACATGAAAGGTACTTTAACTGGAGTAGAGTAAGACAAGTCTATGCCAAGGAGCACATGCAATCTGAATGGATGACACACTGATAAAATGTAGACCCAAGCAGAGGAAGGAGTGTATGACGAGCAAGGGGGCTAGTGCAGTATGCATCGTGTTGGCGCCGTGTTTTGTTAAAACACTGACATTTTTACTTGTTCATAGAGAATTAAAGGCAAGTTTATGGGATTATAGAAAGGGGGCTTTGAGGAGGGATTTGGAGGATGACATGGAGATTGGTATCTGAGATGGGGTTACGGGTATGAGAGAGATGAGGAGATTGCGGGACGTTACATTGTGAACAGGAAAATGGATGGAAGTGTGTGAATCCAGCACATCATGCTTAGCTCTCCATCCTGCTGCGCTCAGAAAGTAGGAGTCGGGATCCAGCACTGACATTCTGGGTTCTGACCCGGCCACAGTCAGGGGGTGGGAGCAAGACTGTCATCGTCAGTGTATCAGTATTGTTTAGGGTGAAAGTGAATATCGAATTGCTGTTTGATGTTGTTGCTGCCTACAGACTCCTGTGGCTAAACCCTTCCCCACTGAATGGGAGCCTTGTCTTCCTATGGGACTTATGTGTAGCAGAATTTCAGCCCTGTCTGTAGCACCAGCTGTCTTAGCTGGGTGGAGGAGGAAAGCAGAAGGGAAGGGCTTGGAATGGTGCCTTTGCCAGACTCTAAGGAACATGCAGCTGGCATGTTCTCATTAATATGGAAGAATCAAGTCTTCCTGGGAGGAAAAACTAGAGCAGGCTCAAGTTGTTTGGGGCTAGTGAGGAAGGAGACAGAGTGGAGAGACACTTGTTTTCCCAAAGACTCCAAGGAGGTGTACAGAGCAGCCTCTTGACAGCTGTGCAGGAGGATTACTGCCTTCCAATGGGGGCTTGTTGTCCTGTTTTTGTGTGTGTGCTGCCATCCTGTGGAATGAAGTGCAAAAGAGGAACGTCTGATTGGAGCCTGGAAATGTGCAAGCTAATGCACGTCGGGGGGAATCATCCCAAACAGCATGTCCTTAGTGGGCAAGAGAAGCCCAGAGAGCTGCAGCGGCAGGCGAGGCTGAGCAGGGAGCGTATGCTTGCAGAGTGGCGGGGCAGAAAAATGGTCAATGCAGGTTTGGGTTCCAGAGGAACTATGTCACAGGGGTTCGTTACCTTTGTCTGAGCCCACACTGGGGACGTAACATTGAAACAGTTAACCAATAAGCACAAGCTTATCTTGTCCCAATGGTTCCATGCTGGCTCCTGGCCCTGCTCCTGGGGACCCAGCTGCCACCCCACGCTGCTGTCTGTGTATCAGATCCCACAGTGCAGGGGGATACCTCCCTCCCTAGGAGCAGGGCTGGGACCCAGGAGTGGGGCTAGGAACCAGTACACGTCGGAAGCCGGCTTAAACTGGCTCCAGGTGTATGCTGGTTCTTGGAGAGCGCCTGCCGCTCTGCGCTGCCAGCCCCAGTCCCGAAGAGCTTTGTATAAAACTGTATCAGCTTTGTACTGCCTTGCCTGCAGTGTGGAACTGCTGAGATTGTTAATGGCCTCATGGTGACCTGATTAACTGCTTTTAACATCCCTAGCTCACACTGGCCATTTTGTCCTCACTACTTTGCCACTCTTGCTAACACAAGTTCAGCTCTGTGGGAGGGAGTACCAGTGTACATTACAGCGTGCCAGCCACACTGTTTCTACCACCAGGTAGTTTAGAATTGCCTTGGGAAAGGTGAGCGACAGTGGGAAAAATCCTGGTGATGTTGGCATCTTGTCTGCACTAGGGCTCCGTTCATGGGGCTGCCCCGAGTACAAAGCAATAGGAAACTTTAGGGGCAAATTTGTGTAGACAAGAGGTAGCCAGTCCTGGTGCAAAGTGCTGAGGGGTGTTGAAATTGGAGGGGGTGGGACCTTGTGTGCTGAGAGTTGGATTTGTGCAGTTTGGGCGGGAAGAACACTGACCGTGTGGGAGAGTTTGTCTCTTTTGCGGGGGGCGCGAGGAGCTAGTTGGTGAATGGTTCAGGTTTGAGGAGCGTGTCACTCTTATTGGCCTGCAGGAATTGGTGCAATGGCCTCTCCAGCAGAGCCCATTTTCTCAGACTGTTTGTACTCAGCCACACGACGTCCCAGGAGCTTTGCCAGCGCTGTCCCGCCTAAGGACCTAGACCCTCTGTCTCTGAGCTGCTTCTCATGTCCTGGTGGATCAGCCGCAGTCCCTGCTGTGTTGCTCAGCTTAATTCACTGCTCTTTTCAGCTGCTTTTCCTTGGCTGATGATCAGAGGATGTCTCAATGGGAGGGCCTCTTGTGAAGTGGGAGAAGGCAGGGCAGCTGGGGCAGGACCTGGACTTGGAGAGTGAGTGAGTTGATCAGGCTTCTCTAATAAACCAGGAATTCCTTCCCTGTGCCCTGGGCTGTGGCCCTGCTCTGCGCTGCCAGGGGCATTCAGAGCACCAGCGTGTGCTGCATCAACACTCGCACATTGATTTCTTCAAGCTTTTAGGTTTTGGGGTCTCCTAAAACCGACTCCTCTGTATGTCTTCACTTCCCTGACCCCCTGGGACTGACTGAATAAATGGCATTTATAGCTTACCTCAGGCACAGTGATGCAGCACTTGCTGCGGGAAGGAGAGCAGCAAAGGGTGCATATTCCATGCCCTGGACTCTTCTTTCTCATGCTGAACTGGGTCTGGTCCTCAGGTGGTTTAGGGGCTTTCTGTAGGTGCCAGCATTGCCTTAGAAAACTGTTTGGATCTCCTTTGGCCCTGTCTGCACTGACTCGCTAACTTACATGTAGGGTTGCCAGGTGTCCGGTATTCTACCAGACTGTCTGGTATTTGCGCTCTTTGTCCAGTAAAAAAAATCAGAGAATACCGGACATGTGCAATGTGCAATGTCCGGTATTCTCTGATTTTTTTCAGCTGCGCGCCGGATGGAAGCCTGGCGGGGGCGGGGGAGCGACTGGAAAGCGGGGCCATGATCGGCGCTAGGAGCCTGTGATTGCGCAGAAGCCTGGTGGGGGTGGCAGGAGTGGCTGGGACTCCCCCCGCCCCCGCCCCCGCCAGTCTTCTGCACAATCACAGGCTCCCAGCTCCGATGGCGGCCCTGCCTCCCAGCCTAGGAGTCCCAGCTGGTAGGCGGGGCTGCGATCACTGCTCTGGGGGGCTTATTATCCCGAGGTTGTGGGTTTTTTTTTCTCTAGACCATCTGGCAACCCTACTCACCTATGATCTTGGGTTAAACTGAGTTCAGTGCCCCGCATGGACTCCCCTCACACTAGATCATTTGGAACCTTTATTGTGTTGGAAAATGTATCCAGCTGACTTCCCCCCCTCCCGCTCCCACCATCTTCCTGGCAAGGAGGGTGCTGCTGAAGCAGCAAAGACTCTATTTTGGGAGTGCTGATGGTGGGTGGGGCCACGAGGAACTTTTGGTCTTTGCTTGCAGAGTTCTGGGATGTTTTTCCTGATGTTTGTAGACTGGGTTTTTTGCAGAGAGACAGGCTAGCCAAATCACTTATTATTAATGTTATTTTGTAATAGGCACTGCCCCAAAGACCTTGCACACTTCCAGCAAAGCTGCCCAGTGCAGGGTTTGATAATGTAAGTCTCAGAGTAAGAAATTCCTGGACATGTAAATCTAGGAAGCTGAACTAAATCCTCTTGGAGAATGAGCATGTTCAAGCTTTGTTGTGCTCATGTAGCTCTGCTATCTGTCTGCTTGGGGCTCACTCCTCAAATCAGCTACATCTGGAACCTATGCATTTGTGTGGAATTTGCTTAAATAAATATATTTGCTAAACATTATAATTGGAAAAAAACTCTACAACCTTAAAAGCAGGGCCTATGTGCAGTTGAGAAAAGACAATCCCCTTGAGAACAGATCTAATTGCAGGCCCCATTTGGGAGGCCCCAGGCAGAAAGTGACATCAATAATAAAAACATAATTACAAAGTGGAGAGTAAAAGCAACAGCGATTCCAGTTATAAAATCTCACAATAAAAGTCAATGTTCAAGTAGCCTGACTGTGTCTCTTTATTTAAGTGCTTTGAGTTCACGAGACAGGTAAACGGATTGTACTGCTTTAAAATGTTGACTTGGTACAACATGGTGTAAACAAGAAAGACAAATAAATCCATCCACCACATAATACATTGTCCATCATCAGCTTGACTTTGCTGTCGAACAGGAAGCTGATGTGTCCCTTAGGTTTCAAGCATCGTGCAGTGTTGGTGGAGAAGTTGTTGCTAAAAGTCACATAACTGCTGATGGTGTGTGTGTGTGTCACTGCTTTATATACTATGTAGGGGTCACTTTATGGTGTATATGAATAGAAGATATCTGGTAAGAGGGTAGAGGTGTGTCTTGGGGACTTGGGTGGAGGAAAGGGAAGAAATAGTTATTTGCCCCAGTGGCTCTGGCTTCCATGATGTGCTCCAGCTGTCTCCAATATCTGGGGCAAGAAAAGTGACTCTGGTTGCTTATCTGTTTTAAATCCTCTGGCTGGTTAAAGATGCTGGGAGTGAATATGTGCTCCAGTGGCTCTGATGGATGTGGTTTCCAGTATATTTGCTGGCTTCCTTGGGTCTCCAGGAAGGGTGTGTTCCACTAGTGGCATCTTTCTTCAGTAACAGGGTGTTAACATTGTGTGTTTTCCTGGGATGTTGTGGCTGCAGGCAAATCTGAAGAAGTTCATGGAGTACGTGCAAATACTAAATGTGGAGAAGGTCTGCAGACTGCTGGAGAAGGGACTGGACCCCAACTTCCATGATCCGGACACAGGAGGTGAGACTAGTTTCCCCAGAGATGGGGGATGGCAGAAAAGGTTGTGGGCAATTTGGTTGCTTTGGGGATTCAGTGGGATTTTGGGAGAATGAGGGTTTGGTTGAGAAGGTAGCAAGTAGCATTCAGGGAAAGGTGGGAGCTGAGTTTTGGGTTACAGGGGCCTTTAGTAAAGAGTCCTAGTCATGTGTTTTTAATATGTTCCTCTCAAGGGTTTTTGGTTCCTGGGGTTCTTATGCTGGAAAGGACTTTCTTTGGGAAAACCAGTGGCCTGGGGTTGTCAGGCTAGATAAAAGTGTAGGGCAGCCATGGGTTCCCTAGAGGAGGCAGCCAGAGGGATGCAGTAGTATTCTCAGGACAGATGAGGTCCTGGCTTCTGAATTCTTGGGAATTGCCCACCTATGTGAGAAGCGTATGCATCCTCAACAGTGTGCTGAACCCTCCACGAGAACAGTGATTGCGGGATGCATGCTCCCTGGCAGAGCCAGATGTTTGATACTGAAGGTTCCTTTCACACTGCTTCTAGAGTGGGCTGGAGCTCTTACCCTTTGTGGCGGCCATTAGTGCCGGCCTGGGTGAGGGTTAGTCATTTCAACACAGAAATGAGAGCAAAAACAGTGCGAAGCCTGTTACTTTTAGGACAAAGTGAGCTTTATGCCTGCTATGTGGCTTAGGCAGATTTCCACCCAATGAGAGAGTCAAGATGTTCTACAAACACACAAGAGAATAAGTATCAACCCCAGGACCACCTATGAGGAAACAGCCACAAACCCCAAACTGGTGCTGAGTGCAATACTTCAATTGCACCAGCCAGTTATCAAGGGTAAACTTCTCAGACTTAAGGTGGAGTCACGGACAGTTCCCTGGGGTACTGTGATCTCTCTTGCTACACAGGTAAGCCTACCGTTGTAAGAAATGTCTCTTACTCCAAGGATCAACAGCAAATGTAGGTCACTCCCAGTGCTAAAAAACCAGTCCCTTACCCCAGGTCAGATGCACCTTAGATCTCACACCAAAGACTACACATGTAGCCAATCCTGTAATAAAATGGATGCAGGTTGATTAAACAGGGAAAGGAAACCTGAGAATTATTTACGGGGTTAAAGGAGGCAAACACTGATAAAAATGAGTCACAGTCTTAAATGTCACGAGGTAATAGAAGCTTCTGTGATATCTCAGCTCTATGGCTATGTTTACACTGTACTGTAGTTCAAAATAAGACGCAATTTGAGCTATGCAAATTGCGTAACTTATTTCGAAATAGCCTATAAGTCCTATAAAACTTACCCAGGATAAGCAGGAAGGGATCTCTTGCTTATGCCTAGGAACACTTTGCCCCTTCAGGCTACGTGTACACTGCAACACTATTTCAGGATACTGGGGTATCCCAAAATAGCTATCCTATGTCTTAACAGCAAGCGCGTTATTTCATGCTTGCTATTCCGACATCCCTGTAAACCTCATTCCATGAGGAGCATGGGACATTTCGGAATAGCGGCTTATTTCAAAATTTGGCACAGTGTAGACAGTGCCAGATTATGAAATAAGCTATTTCAAAATAAGATACGCAATTTGTGTAGCTCAAATTGAGTATCTTATTTTGAACTACAGTGCAGTATAGACGTAGCCTCAGAGTCCAAGCAGCATAGAGGTACAGTTCCTCTTTGTAATGGCTTTTATTCCCTCCTCCCCATTGGCTCTGAACTACAAACTCAGTGGGTGAGAGGACTCCATTGGTGTGGCTCATCTTCATGAGGAGGAAAGAGCAGGGCAGCAATGTCTTTTGGTGCCACAGTATTGATGGGGGTTCCTTGTTAGCCAGGACATAACAGCGTCTGTTGGGGACCAGCTCTCTATAGTAGTTATTGTCTTTCCTGTTGGTAGCGTACAGTCTCACAGAGGCCCACCATACAAATGCTTAATTATAATATGGGGTGCAGATACCTTAGTGCAGGCAGCAGCTCACAAATACTCAGTGAATTCTAAACGCTAAACACAGACGTCTCATTCTAATGCCTGTTTTAACAATAGTAACACACAGGAGAGTCAGACTGATTCCAGCTATGTTTTTGCCAGTGCTTGGTGGAATCACGGGAGCTGGTGCGAGTGGACATCTGATCTTCTAGCATCACACAGTTAATGCTAATCTGATGGTTAATTTTCATAGAATCATAGAATCCCAGGGCTGGAAGAGACCTCAGCAGTCATCCAGTCCATCCCCCTACCCAAAGCAGGACCAACCCCAACTCAATCATCCAGCCATCAATGTGTATTTGTGGTTTGACTGGCTCCTCCATTCCAGTTTGGTTCTCCCCGCTTGTTATTATTCCCTGATGCTCTGTGTCAGATTTCTGATGGTTAGGGTCCTACCAGATTCACAGTGTATTCTGGTCAGTTTCATGGCCATAGGATGTGAAAATTAGTTTCCAGAGGTTTACATGTGAAATGTCAAAGTGTTGTAACTGTGGGGTCCCAACGCTGTTGTAGGGGGATCATGGGATTGCCACTGTGCTGTCTGTAGAGCTGGGCTTTGAAGGCAGCAGCCACGGAGCTTCCTGCAGCTGCAAGATGTTCCTGGAGGCTTGAAGGTGGGTCTGATATCCCCAGTGCTGCTGGGAGCACCCAGGACAGGCTCTTAGCTGCGAGTTCTGACTGGGGAGGGACAGGATTTGCTCTTCCCCTTCATGACCACTCTTGAGGAGAGATCAGACCCACTCCTGGGTTAACCCCTCCCCTCCTGCTTCAGGAGGCTCCATGGATGATGCTTTGTCCAGCTCCTCACACTCAGTGTCAGCCTCTCTATTAGCTCTTTCTTGGGCGAATACTTCAGTAGGTTCAATTAGCCCTGTGCCAAAGTGCCTAGAGGTATCTCGGAAGAGTTCTGATCCAAAATGGTTTTGAATGAAGCTAGTTATGAGTCAACAGTGTAGCCTTGTAGCCAAGAAGGCTAATGGCATGTTCGGGTACATTAGGAGGAGCATTGCCAGCAGATCTAGAGAAGTGATCTGGAGTATCGTGTTCAGTTCTGGGCCCCCACTATAGGAAGGATGTGGACGCATTGGAGAGGGTCTAGCGGAGGGTGACCAAAATGATTAGGGGGCTGGAGCTTATTCAGCACTGGTGAAGCCACATCTGGAATATTGTGTCCAGTTTTGGGCCCCCCACTATAGAAAGGATGTGGACGCACTGGAGAGGGACCAGCGGAGGGAAAATGATTCGGGGGTTACAGCACATGACCTACCAGGAGAGGCTGAAGGATTTGGGCTTGTTTAGTCTGCAGAAGAGAGACGGAGGGGGTTAACAGCCTTCAGCTACCTGAAGGGGGGTTCCAAAGAGGATGGAGAGAGGCTGTTCTCAGTGGGGGCAGATGCAGAACGAGGAGCAATGGTCTCAAGTTGCAGTGGGGGAGATTTAGGCTGGACATTAAGAAAAACTATTTTAGTAGGTGGGTGATGAAGCACTGGGATGGGTTCCCTAGGGAGGGGGTGGAATCTCCATCCCCAGAGATGTTTAAGTCGCCACTTGACAAAGCCCTGGCTGGGATGATTTAGTTGGGATTGGTCCTACTTTGGGCAGAGGGTTGGACTCGGTGACTCCTGAGGTCTCTTCTATAATTCTATGAATCCAGGCTTCATTTTGGGATTTGGAGCAAGCGGCTGCTGATGGCTCAGAGCCCTTGGTAGGATATAGAAAGCAGAAAAAATCATGGTGGTTCCTAACGGTTTTTTGCATCTTTTACCCACAATGGATTTGCTGGAGCTTGATGCAAATACAGAACTCAGAATTGGTGGAGGTCTGATTGGGATGTCTTCGAACTGAGGGTATGTCTACACTACCCCGCTAGTTCGAACTAGCGGGGTAGTGTAGACATACCCTATTTTATTCCTTAGAACACATGTTGAAGCAATGAGAAGGTTGCTCTTGCTGCTGTCCTGTTGTTCTCCTCCCTCATATGTGAATGTGTTATGTAGCAGCGACGCTCCTTTCTCCCTCGGTTGGAACTAATGGTCTACCAGAATCAGCAGAGATTTTCCAAAAAAATGGCTATATTTTGCGGTTTTGAATGACACCAGAAATAAACCCATATTGGGATCCTAGCTGTGGCTCAAACTTACATCAAGCACTCTGGTCCATTTTTTTTATTTCTTTGCAGACCATGGCTCATAGGTCCCTGCATGCCCCCTCCCCACTTTCCAATTCCATTTTTTGTGTTTTCACGCTCATGCCTTCTAATCAAGTTGTCTTGAAATGTGCCAGGAAAGGAGGTGAGTTTCAGGTCAGTGGAACACAGCATTGGGGTTTCAAATGGATGGAGATGGTTTGTTTCCAGTAACAGTTTCATTTGGAACGTATATTACATTTCAAATGCACTGCTTTCAGGACAGAGCTAGCCAAATCAGGGACACCCAGAATCTACAAACACCTTATTGGAGACTTTCCAGGTGCTCAAGCTCCCCGGAGTTCTTGTACAAAGATGCGCTGCTTCCTCATTACTGTCACAAATCTTGAGTCCTGAATTGGTTCAGTTAGTTGGAGGTATATGACAATAACAATTATTCACATTCATAGCATTTAAGGCCAGAAAGGACCATTGGATCAGCCCGTTTTAACTCCTGTATCATAGATTCATAGAGCTGGAAGAGACCTCAGGAGGTCATCAAGTCCAACCCCCTGCTCTAGGCAGGACCAATCCCAACTAAATCAACCCAGCCAGGGCTTTGTCAAGCCAAGACTTAAACACCTCTAGGGATGGAGATTCCACTCCCTCCCTAAGTAACCCATCCCAGTGCTTCACCTCCTCCTAGGGAAATAGTTTTTCTTCTTCGAGTGGCTGCTCATGTCCATTCGAATGAGGTGTGTGCGCCTTTTTCCCAGCGGTACCCGTCGGGCCGGCAGGTTGCCCCCTAGAGTGGCACCGCTACAGTGGAGCATAAATACCCCTGCCGGCCCTCCCTCTCCTCAGTTCCTTCTTACCGCCCTGTGACCTTCCTTGGAGCTTGCTG